CAAAAAAAACGTTTAAAATATTTTTAAAAATTATATAAATGAATTGTGAACACAAACAAAGTAATAAGATAATTTATTAAGATATTTATTATGAATTCGACACATCGAGTAGGGAATAATAAAGGTAGGTATATAAATCAAAATTAACTACTTATTATCTGCTATCATAAATAGTTGAATATATTTAACTTGCTTCCACGTATGACATTTTGCCTGTCTGACCATAAAATCTTGTAATCAATTTTTAATATACTTGAAGAGCACATAGAGTATGCACTTGTTCAAACATGTTAAAATACTAGTTGACATATTTTCAGACTTCTGGGAAATTGAGGTGGTTGAGAATTGGCTAATTTCGATTTTTACTTCTAAATTTTGTGATTGCTTTCTGATATAGCTACAGGGAACATACAAGCCAAAAATTTAATTTACTCTTTAAACCTGATAACATTGCAAGTTGAAGAAATTTCATACTTATGGGTAATCGGGGATTTTGGTAATTTATTTTAATATATTGTCGCGATGAAAAATAATTGAATAAGCTCGCTAATTACTTTAAATATTCATTTAAATTGTTATATTAAATACAAGGTGCGTTCATTAATTTCCAGGACTGGTTAAAAAATAAATTAAATAAAAAAGCAAGAGAAAATATTTTTTACAGAGTTGAATATTGGACATTCGACCACACCTGACTGAAAGCACGAGTCTTGTGGCGCACGCGCCGATCTAAAAATAGAACAAAACAACTTCCTTGTAAGGTTCGCATTTCTAATTTTAAAATGGCCATTTTCGAAGAGCAGAGAATCTGCATTAAGTTTTGTTTTAAATTGAAAAAAGGTGCTACTGAGACGTATGAATTGATTAAAGAAGCTTTTGGCGATGCAGCTTTATTCCGTTCAAGAACTTTTGAATGGTTTTCACGCTTCCAAAAAGGTCGGGAAAAGGTAAACGATGATCAGCATACTGGGCGTCCAAGATCATTTCGTTGCGAGGAAAACAAGCTCAAAATAAAGGAGTTAATTAAATCTAACAGAAGAATTTATATTAAAGACTTATCTTCAGAGACTGGACTATCTGTTTATTTGGGGATAATGAGGTGCTTAAGGGAGGCAGTGCGCCTTAAAAGACCTGAAAGATGGCAA